AGAAGACAAAGGGAGGGGGAAGGAGGAGGAGAGAGAGAGAGAGAGAGAGAGAGAGAGAGAGAGAGAGAGAGAGAGAAAGAGAGAGAGAGAGCCTGGAACGTGGCACTTCGCCTGATGAAGAAAGCCAATGAAATAGGGTGGAGGAGGAGAAAGGAGGAGGAGGAGAGAAGAAGACGAAGGGAGGAGGAGGAGGAGGAGCACGAGAAGGACCTGCCGGTTTCATGATACATCGACGAAAAAGGAAAAAAAAAAAAAGGATGACGAAGGAGGAGGAGGAGGAGGAGGAGAGAAGAAGACAAAGGGAGGTCGAAGGAGGAGGAGGAGAGAGAAACATAGCACTTCGCCCGATGAAGAAAGCCAATGAAATAGGGTGGAGGAGGAGAAAGGAGTAGTAGGAGAGAAGAAGACAAAGGGAGGAGGAGGAGGAGGAGGCAGAGAAGGACCTGCCGGTTTCATGATACGTTGGCGAAAAAGGGAAAAAAAAAAAAGGATGACGAAGGAGGAGGAGGAGGAGGAGGAGGAGAGAGACACAGAGAGAGAGAGAGAGCCTGACACGTGGCACTTTGCGCAACGGTACCGTATCGACGACGACGGGGCATCTTTCCGACGGCGGGCAGTGACGACGAGCTGGAAAACGGGCAGCGACGACGGGCAGCGGCGGAGGGCAGTGACGATGGGCATCGGCGACGGGCAGCTCGGAGAAGGCGGGCAGCGGCGGGAACCTCCTCGGCGGGCAGCACGAACTCACGTTCAAATTCGAAGGCCGCCCGACCAGATGTGGAATCGGCGGAATAATTTGCGCGGTGGGGCGGGGAGGCTCCTAAGCGCAAAAAAGCATCGAAAAAGGCCTCCCCGCCCCCCCGCGCAAAAATGCGTTGGGCCCGCCCGACGTCAAACCGGGGGACCCAACCGGKCGGGCCGCCCGGGACCCCTGCCGAACGGAGGCTGGGCCGCCGGGCGGCCCGGAGTTTAACACAGGTGTACTGACAATTTTGCTGGTATGTCAGAGGTTTATTGCAGGTGTGTACGCCGAAGAAGAAGACGAAGAAGATGGGTGGTTGAAGATGGCAGGAAGGGGGTATGGAACAACGGCCGAGGAGGAGGAAGAGAAGAAGAAGAAGAAGAAGAAGAAGAAGAAGAGTGGTGGACTCAGAGGCACCACCCTCTCCTTCCAGATGCGCCACCAAGAAAAGAGTCAACTCTCAAGGTAGAGCGGTGACGACTCCTGAACCAAAAGAGGACACTAAAGTTGGACTCACTTCCTCACAGTAAGAAGAGATTAAGATGGGAAGATAAGGTAAGGGAACAGCGTACTTGAAGATAGCTGCCCCCAAACACATATTTTCTCACCAATTGAGCCAACGTGCATTTTGATGACTCGTTATAGCCTCGGTACCACACACATTACAATGGAGTGCCACCTCAGCCAAAATGTCATGTCAGCATGCTCTCACCATTCCACACACATTCTCTGTCGCCACAGCTCCCACGTTATCGCCAATTGAGCCGACGTGCATTCTGATGACCGGTTATAGCCTCAGTACCACACACATTACAATGGAGTGCCAACTCAGCCAAAATGTCATGTCAGCATGCTCTCACCATCCCACACACATTCG